GATTCTCAGCCTCGGAATGCACAGTTCACCCTTGTTCCCGAAAACACATCTTATCACGTTTCCCCTTTAACACTAAATCAACCTTTTTACAAAAAATTACTGTTTTTTTAAAAACTTATCAAGAAAGAAAATTGTTCTGCTACCTCTTCTATGGCATGATAGGTATCCCGACCCTTGGAATGTAGCAGTACGTATTCTGCTTTGTATGTGTTCTCCATTTCTCCAGGGGCAGGGTTGTTAAAATAGGAGGTGGGCCACCTGGGAGGTCAAAGCCACAGTTGGGCCTAAGAATAAATTTTTGGGGTTTCCAGCGTTTGGGTCTGGTTCTGCCAGGAACTGCTACTAGGTTTCTAGGACATGGGCATTCTGACAGTTGTGGTGCTGAAACAAAGGCACACTGACAGTTGGTGCAATGGCCAACTGACCGTTGTGGTACCAGAACAAAGTAACAATGATGGTTAGTTGGTGCAACGGCCAACTGACAGTTCTGGTACCAGAACAAAGTAATACTGATGGTTAGTTGGTGCAACGGCCAACTGACAGTAGTGCCAGAACAAAGACACGCTGACAGTTGGTGCACTGGCCAGCTGACCGTTGTGGTACCAGAACAAAGTAACAATGATAATTAGTTGGTGCAACAGCCGACAGTTGTGCCAAGACACACTGACAGTTGGTTCAATGGCCAACTGGCTGATGTTCCTTCAATGGACAACCACCATTGGGGAACCAGAAATGTTGTCATCTAGTACCTGGCACGGAGAACAAAGGTTGCCAGAGAGATGGCGAACAAGCCGATGGGGCACCAAACAATGGCACACATGGATGAGAAGTCACAATGCCGGAGAAACATTGAAGCCCGACACTTTTTCTAGTTTATGGGAAGAGTGTGGAAGGCTGGAACCTCCCTCACAATGTCATTGCTGTCTGTGACTCCATTCGGGAGATTTCCCCCCTCACTAGGACACCCCATGACCTCAGGGCAAGAGAAGCGGGCAACAGGGGGTCACCGGGATGGGACACAAACAGCTTTTCCAAGCTTTCCACACTGAACAGGAAAAAGGTTTGGGATGAAATTGGGCTTCAAAGATCTCTGAGCACCTCCTCTAGCATCGTGTTAAAAAAAAAAACAAACAAATGCCCAACTAAAGGTGCCCACACACCTTGCGATAATCGTACGATAATGGCCGGAAATCCCGCGATCGTACGATTATCGTAAGGTGTGTGGAAGTCGTGCGACCTCTACTACTGTAAGGTCGCACAACTTTTATCCTAGGAACATGTTCGAAAATTAGCCGAACATCGTACGATTTTCGGCTGGTTTGTGGCATGTTCGCATTATAAAAGCCGCAAGCGCACACTGCCCGTTCGGCATTGTGATCATTGCAAGTACGATCTGCCTGTCCAAGATCTGCAGATCGTACGTTTTTTTTAATTACCTTACAACCATCGCAAGACAAAAGTCTTGTGATGGTTGTAAGGTGTGTGCCCAGCATTAGTTTTATCTGAACTCTTTTATTCTTTTCACCTGAACCTTATGTAGCTTTTCTGTGCAGGAAACCGTTACGTGTATCTTACATAGAGGACGAGTGTAACGTGCAATATAAAAGGTCCAGTAGGGACAATAACATTGTATCGAAATGTGACATGAAATCCTACAATCCGGGTTCTGAAATCTCCACCTGTGACTTTTATGAATGTTTCTTATAATCCGACTGGAAGAAAACCCATTCCAATAAAACCAATAAAAAACTTTTTTTACGAGTGATTGTTTTTATTTATGAAGAAAGAACGGCTCTCGCGGGATGAATCTTCTCTAGAGGTTGCGCCGAAATCCGAAAATGTTTTTTTATTTTAACTTTTTCACTTTTTCAAATTTTTAAAATATTTATTCATTTTTTATTAAATATTTTATTTTTTACTTTACTTTTAAGGGCTTCGGGGAAACATTGGGGGTCTAAAAGGAGTCCTCAGAGACACACAGAGCCCTCCAATCTCTTTTTCTGCAGCCCCCTGTTATCAATGACCAGGAATCCTCTATAATGAGTGTTCCTGATCATTCATAACATGAGGACAGAGTGTGTTTACTATAACCACAATCATGAATGAACAGGAAGTGATGTAGATGTGATGTAGATCACTTCGCATTCATTCATAATTGAGGATATAGTAACCATACTCTGTCCTCAATTATCTACAAACACTCAGCGATCACTGACCACTGACTGCTTGTACCGCTCTCCTCTCTGACACGCTGTCACAGGAGGATAAGCGAGCGGAGCGGGGAGGAGATCCCAGCCTTCTGTGACAGCGCTGCGTGTCTCCGCCCTCACCGCCGCTCTCCTGCTCTGTGACAGGAGGCTGAGCGTTGCGGGGAGGAGAGACGCCGCCTACTCACAGCGCTCTCCTCCCGCAGTGCTCGGCCGGCTGTCACACTTTCTCTCCTCCCCGCTGGGACACAGAGCAGCACACAGCGGGGAGGAGAGAAAGCAGGGATGCGCCGCGGTATCGGCCAGAAAAATGGCACTTTCAGCATTATGCCAAAAGTGCAATTTTCGGCCGATATATCGGCGCATCCCTAATCTTCTTGGCTTTTTGCCATATAGGAGGCTTCCTATTGGCCCGGTGAAGTGACACAGGGGGCGGGGCAGAAGGAATCTCAAGTTGAGATCTGCCTACTGAGGGTAGTCGTGTTCAGGGGCTTTGCTCACCCAAATTGTCCTGATGACCGTTATCAGGTAACAGGAAATCTATCACAGGAATAAAGGGGAAATCTGCCACTGGGGACACCTGTTTTGGAGATAACCATAAGTCCTCATTCACACGGGAAAGGCCGGCACGTACAGCTCCGTGCTGTGCGCACGGCCGTATGGGGCAGCTCCCGGGAAGGACAGGTGCTGCGTGTGATTAGTACGCAGCCCCCGTCCTTCTCTACGGGAGTATGCCGCTCAAGTGCAGGTCCGTATGGGTGCGGGTGTCCCGGCTCGGACGCAGACAGGATCCATCCTGTCAGCGTACGAGTACGGACACCCGCACCAGCACTTTAGATAGTTACTGTGCATGTAAACGCTCCACAACTACATAGATCTGCAGCTTTTATTAAAATAATCCCCTATGATCGTGCCATGAACGGTCCTTCCTGTTATAGGGTGACAACACTCTGTCCTGGTCTCCCAATCGTGCTCCTGCATTGTCACCCGATCACATGGCCATCCAGCGCCCAGATCAGCGTGTTCGTACAAATCAGTGACAGGGTGACGCTGTCCCACGGCTCTCTGTGCATGTAAATCGCTCCACAACTGCACAGATCATGTCGGAATTTTTTTAAACCTGCAGCTTTTATCAAAATAATTCCCTGATGATTCCGCCATGAAACGATCCTTCCTGTTATAGGGTGACAACGCGCACTCCCTGCCTCCCAATCGTGCTCCTGCTCTGTCCCCGTTACACAGGCTTCTGATAGACACTACAAGTGGCCGTTTCAGCACACATGACTAGGGTTGCCACCTGTCCAGGATTCACCCGGACAGTTCGGGTTTTGAATGCTGTGTCCAGGTTTCATGGCAGCAGAAACCCGGACACATGATGTCAGGCAGACAGGGGCAACCAAAATTACGATAGGGGCTACTGGCCCTCCACTGAAAATAGTCTCAAAGGTGATATTTACATATGAATGGGCGGCACTATTTACATATGAATAAGCCACGGCTCATTCTCCCACAAAAATTTCCGTGCGTCGCTAGGGTGTTCGGGTTTCGCTTGAAGAAAAGGTGGCAACCCTACACATGACACAGACACGATCCACCGTTGTCACCGTCAGGAAACCCGCCCTGAGGAATGCCAGGCAGCCGTCGCTGGACAGGAAGGGGCTGTAAGGAGGCTGCAGGTGATCAGCAGCAGTGCGATGCAACAAAAAGATGAAAAAAAATATTTTTTTTAGAGAATAAAAATAGTTTATTACACCCAGCGCTAAATGTCAGTTGGGGGTTCCGCATTTTAGGGGGAGAAAAAAGGTTAGAACCTCTGTAAAGTTTTTATTCCTTCCCTATTTCGCGGGTGTCAAGAGGGGAAATCTCCACAAACGGAGTCACAGACGGCCGTAAAGATGTTTTATCGCCCTCTGTGTCCCCATGAGGGAGATTTACCCCCCACTTCCTGTCCAGGAGACACGCAGAACAGGAAGATGTGGCCAGCATTTATCACATGATGGAGGTTCTGACCCTTCCCACGCTCTGTGCGCAATGACAAAGTTTGGTTATAAATCGTCATTATTAGCGCCCCTCAAAATGTTTTCTATACTTGTGAAAGCTGTTTTCACCCCCCCCCCAGCGGCTTCCCCCCCCCCCCCAGTATTCCCCGGCTCCGCACCACTGATACGTGAATCCTTTTGGCAGACGCCGGGGCCCGGCTCAGTGTACCATCATCTGTCTTCCATGTCCTTGCGGCCGGCGGGTGTAAATCACCTGTAATCCGTGTCCCTCATCCTCACCACACAACTGTTCTATGAGATAAGGCGTCACGTAATGTGATGTAGATCACTTCGCATTCATTCATAATTGAGGATATAGTAACCATACTCTGTCCTCAATTATCTACAAACACTCAGCGATCACTGACCACTGACTGCTTGTACCGCTCTCCTCTCTGACACGCTGTCACAGGAGGATAAGCGAGCGGAGCGGGGAGGAGATCCCAGCCTTCTGTGACAGCGCTGCGTGTCTCCGCCCTCACCGCCGCTCTCCTGCTCTGTGACAGGAGGCTGAGCGTTGCGGGGAGGAGAGACGCCGCCTACTCACAGCGCTCTCCTCCCGCAGTGCTCGGCCGGCTGTCACACTTTCTCTCCTCCCCGCTGGGACACAGAGCAGCACACAGCGGGGAGGAGAGAAAGCAGGGATGCGCCGCGGTATCGGCCAGAAAAATGGCACTTTCAGCATTATGCCAAAAGTGCAATTTTCGGCCGATATATCGGCGCATCCCTAATCTTCTTGGCTTTTTGCCATATAGGAGGCTTCCTATTGGCCCGGTGAAGTGACACAGGGGGCGGGGCAGAAGGAATCTCAAGTTGAGATCTGCCTACTGAGGGTAGTCGTGTTCAGGGGCTTTGCTCACCCAAATTGTCCTGATGACCGTTATCAGGTAACAGGAAATCTATCACAGGAATAAAGGGGAAATCTGCCACTGGGGACACCTGTTTTGGAGATAACCATAAGTCCTCATTCACACGGGAAAGGCCGGCACGTACAGCTCCGTGCTGTGCGCACGGCCGTATGGGGCAGCTCCCGGGAAGGACAGGTGCTGCGTGTGATTAGTACGCAGCCCCCGTCCTTCTCTACGGGAGTATGCCGCTCAAGTGCAGGTCCGTATGGGTGCGGGTGTCCCGGCTCGGACGCAGACAGGATCCATCCTGTCAGCGTACGAGTACGGACACCCGCACCAGCACTTTAGATAGTTACTGTGCATGTAAACGCTCCACAACTACATAGATCTGCAGCTTTTATTAAAATAATCCCCTATGATCGTGCCATGAACGGTCCTTCCTGTTATAGGGTGACAACACTCTGTCCTGGTCTCCCAATCGTGCTCCTGCATTGTCACCCGATCACATGGCCATCCAGCGCCCAGATCAGCGTGTTCGTACAAATCAGTGACAGGGTGACGCTGTCCCACGGCTCTCTGTGCATGTAAATCGCTCCACAACTGCACAGATCATGTCGGAATTTTTTTAAACCTGCAGCTTTTATCAAAATAATTCCCTGATGATTCCGCCATGAAACGATCCTTCCTGTTATAGGGTGACAACGCGCACTCCCTGCCTCCCAATCGTGCTCCTGCTCTGTCCCCGTTACACAGGCTTCTGATAGACACTACAAGTGGCCGTTTCAGCACACATGATTAGGGTTGCCACCTGTCCAGGATTCACCCGGACAGTTCGGGTTTTGAATGCTGTGTCCAGGTTTCATGGCAGCAGAAACCCGGACACATGATGTCAGGCAGACAGGGGCAACCAAAATTACGATAGGGGCTACTGGCCCTCCACTGAAAATAGTCTCAAAGGTGATATTTACATATGAATGGGCGGCACTATTTACATATGAATAAGCCACGGCTCATTCTCCCACAAAAATTTCCGTGCGTCGCTAGGGTGTTCGGGTTTCGCTTGAAGAAAAGGTGGCAACCCTACACATGACACAGACACGATCCACCGTTGTCACCGTCAGGAAACCCGCCCTGAGGAATGCCAGGCAGCCGTCGCTGGACAGGAAGGGGCTGTAAGGAGGCTGCAGGTGATCAGCAGCAGTGCGATGCAACAAAAAGATGAAAAAAAATATTTTTTTTAGAGAATAAAAATAGTTTATTACACCCAGCGCTAAATGTCAGTTGGGGGTTCCGCATTTTAGGGGGAGAAAAAAGGTTAGAACCTCTGTAAAGTTTTTATTCCTTCCCTATTTCGCGGGTGTCAAGAGGGGAAATCTCCACAAACGGAGTCACACACGGCCGTAAAGATGTTTTATCGCCCTCTGTGTCCCCATGAGGGAGATTTACCCCCCACTTCCTGTCCAGGAGACACGCAGAACAGGAAGATGTGGCCAGCATTTATCACATGATGGAGGTTCTGACCCTTCCCACGCTCTGTGCGCAATGACAAAGTTTGGTTATAAATCGTCATTATTAGCGCCCCTCAAAATGTTTTCTATACTTGTGAAAGCTGCTTCCCCCCCCCCCC